CACACATCAGTTCTAATTCTGTTAAGGTCAATCAGATCACTCTAGTTGGTGCAAAATCTTGTATCAACACATATCAACCACTGTATAATTTTCTTAGAAATTAAGCAATTCTTTGTAGAAGAATCTTGAAACAACTTTACTGTGAAGAATGTGCTAACATGTTTTGAAGTTATTTTAAGCAAAAGAAATTATTTGACAACTTTCTTCGCTGGAGGATTGTCTACCCTAATGAAGTAAATAAATAAGCGAAATTGTAGTTATGCAAAGATGTGATTATTTACATACAAACGTTGAAAATATGGCTACTCATGCAAACACTATTCCTGAACCAAGTTGCTGCGGAAATTAAGTTAAAGTTAACCGCGTTTTATCGCTAAATGTCCTTTGGTAGAGAATTCTTTTTATTAAAATTGTCCTACAAACAATTAATTTCTTAAAATGATGTCCTCTAATGTACATTTATAAAAAATAAAAAAAAATCATTTGGGTAATATATTCTTTTTATTTTTTGAATGTCAAAATTTTGAAACCAAATTTTTCAAGAAAATGTGTTTGATTGACATGAAAATAAGGTTAAAAAAAATTGCTTTAAATATTCTATATAGTTTTTGGGATTAAAAATTCTCATGTCGTTATGCTTTCTGTGATAAAAATAAATGATAAAAAATAATTAGATAAATATTTATTAATTTATAACAACATAAATGGTAAAAGTTCCGTAGAGAATTTTTTCTTATTTTTTAAAAACGAATTTTCGTTTTTTAATCAAACCTTAGAAGAGTCAAATATTAACCCAAGTTTTTTCTGACTTTGAGAACAATTTTTTTTTTTCTTTCAATTATTTCAAATACATTTGAAAAACATAGACGATATTTATATAAAACTTACATTCTGAATAGTATATTTTAGTTTTTAAAAATTATTTTTGATTCGAAGAGAAATGAGTGTGATATTGGAATTATTAAATTTAATTATTGTTCTTAATCTTATTTGAAGTTTTATTAAAAGTATCTATAGTTTCATATGAGGTGAATAATATTTTCTTAAATAAATGATATTATGTTATTCTTTGAAAGGAATATAGCATGGAAACTGCCTCTGGGTAATCAAGTGATTCGATAGGAACTCTTGAGTGTATTACTCAAGAAGTCTTGAGTTTAAGTCCTTCCCCGTATGCTAATAGGGATAACTATTGGATTTCTTATCCGACAGGTAGCTCAAGGATCCCGAGAGATTAGTTGAGAAACGCGTAAGTTGGTCTGGATACCTCGGATCATATATATATAAATATAACAACTAAATTTTGATTCAAACCTATAAAAATTTGGAATTTTGACATGAATGCTGATTTAGACTCTAATTTGCTAGCTAGTGATGTGAGATGTGACAAAAATGATACAAAAGAATCCATGTTCCTTATGTGAACACTTCATATTCTTTTCCAGACACTAATAGGGGTGGCCACTAAGACTCTTACTCGGTCGACAATTTCAGGGTCTTTGAGGATTAGTTGAGGTGCGCGCAAGCCAGCCCGAACACCCTCAGCAATAAAAAAAAAAAAAAAAAATCATATTTTTGGCATGAATGTATAGCCATCTTTGCAATCATATTAATATATCTGCAAAATTGGGTTGTTTTTGTAAAGTATGGATGAAACGCGTCCTTTGCTTCTGCAGTGGTAAACCAAACTGACCCCTTCTGCTTTATTCCTTCCTGATATGTTTGATTCTGAAACTTCATTCATTATCTTCATATAAACTATTACACGTTTTTCTTGTGATTTCAAAAGATACCCTTGTCAAATCTCAAACTAAAAAGAGAGAGAAAAAAAAAAAAAAGAAAAAAAAAAGCCATTGCAGCAACTGAAATGGCTTATATGTTTAAATTCAACTTAGATTCTGAGAATTGTTCTCTCTTAATAATGATGGTTAGTTTCTTAATAGATTTTGCAATGTATTAACATATGAATATTCTTCAACTTGGTTTTGTTTCTTGCTTGTTGTATCTCATTTGGTATAATTGTAAGGATAAAATGCAAGAAAATTAATGTTACAGGATCCGGGTTTCAGGTTTTGGAGTAATTCCATGTCATTATTTCTCGATTTCTCAAAGATTTTAAGGTCCAACATTGTAAGGTTTATCAGGGTCTCTAATCTAGTTTCAAACTCAAGCTTACAAAAGCAAGTTTGAGGATTTCTAGATTATCAAAAAGAAAAAAAAATAAAGTTTTGGGATACTCCCTAGATTATGTAGACAAATCCAATCTTTCTTCTAAGGCATATATATATTTTGTTACCAGGGGTGTTTGGGCTAGCTTACGCGTACTTCAACTAGTCTCTTGACCTCGAATAAGGCTTCCAAAATAGGATAAGCTCTACGGTTTGTGGCTAACAATATTAGCAACTGTTCTTATAATTTGAACTTGAGACCACAGAGGGAGCAAACCCCTTGGCCTCAAGCCTTTTACCACTCGACCAACCCATTGTTGGTTTTCTGAAGGCATCTTTTGATTTGCACTTTTGCTAAAGCTAAATGTTCTATATAAATTAAAAAAATTTTAGTTTTGAAAGTTTTAAGGGATTACCAAGTGATTAAACCTTATACGGAATGGGTTGCTTGTTCAATTTTTTGAGCAAATGACTTGTGAAAAACATAATCAAAACATACATCAAAGCAAGTAAAGAACACTCTCATTTTTACATGGTTCGGCATCAAGCCTACATCTATGGGACCAAGTCCAGAGGAAGCAAATTCACTATGAAAAACTTATGAGTTTAAATACAAAGCCAGATAACCAAAGTTGTTAAAACACTCCCTGTTTTCTACACGACAACTCTATCTTCTTTGGTTGAACTTTAAGATCCCATAGCAAGCTTCACGTACACAGCAACGTCATATTGAAGAAGAGCTCCTCTCAAGATCATATTGAAGAAGAGCTCCTCTCAAGATTCAACGATGAAGGCAGGACAGCAGCTTACACACAAGCTCTCGTCACAATGGAAATAGCATCCAAAAGATCTCACACAAGGACAAGTGAAGATGGTAATTCCTTAGTTAGTAAACACAGGTACGGCAAAAAAGGGTACCGGAATTTTACGGATATAATACGGCAAACGGTAAAAAATACGTTTATAAAAATTCGGCCATAAAATTCGGATATGAGAAAAATACCATACGGGTATATATGGGTTTAATACGGTGCATTGTCAATAATACGTTTTAAAAAATACAGTAATATCAATCTTAGTTTTAAGACTTTGCATTGCTCTACACCTTCTCCTTCTAATCTAATATTAATTTAATTGACTCACATTATCTCTCTCTTTCATGACTTCTACCTTTAGATTTGTCAGAAGGGCCTCGAATTGTTCCCAGTTATAGGCTGTCTCTTCGTCGCATCTCACAACTTCTAATTTCTTAAGATTCATAATGGACGCGGGTAGCTCACAACTAGAGAAGAAAATCTGAAAACACCGAAGAGAGTAAAGAGTTATAGAACTGAGGAAGAAAAGAAAGGAGATTTTGTGTCAAACCCCACTAAAACGACGTCGTTTTGGGGTGTTTTTTTTTTTTTTTTTTTTTGCAATAATTCGCGAATATACAGATATTCATATTATACGCGTATAATTCGGCAGCCTTTATAAAATACGTAAATACGCGTTTTATACGCGAATTTACTAACTAGGGGTAATTCTAAGCCTACCAAAACATAGTAAGAAATCTTAACTAAAATAAGAACCTCAGAGAATATTCAGAGAGAAGAACAGTTACGATCAGATTCCTTGAAGAAAACGCTAGAAATAAATGAATATATAGAGATCAATGCGTCAAGGATTGGGGGACCAAAAAGTTAAATATTAACTTTTGTGTTTCTTTTTGCACAAGAAATTTGAGACCACAGACAAAAACAATATTCGTTTTCTCACACAACAAATAAAAAGTGGACAAGTGTAAAAGCACAAACAGAATATCAACTAGGAATAATATTGTCCAAAGAGTAAAACGAGTGTGATTGAGGAAAAATATCTGCTATAGAAAGGAAAAGATAGTGCAGGACTTAAAATAGGATCATAAGATGACCAAAATTCTAGCAAGTTTCTTTGTACATATTTCCAATAAACATAGGCATGCTTTGTACAGAAACATATACTAATCCTATTCATAATTTCTTTATATTAGGTTAAAGTTAGCTAGCCCTTTCTTTTTTTTTTTTTTTTTTTTTTTTTTTTTGTTTATGCATAAGCTGAGGTGCTGACGGAAATACAGATTAGAAGAAGGGTTAAATGCAGCTGCAGACTTCGGGCAGCTCTGATCAGGATTTAATCATTGTCTTGAAAGGAAAAAAGCAATGGAAGCCCTGAGGTTACCATTGGAAAATTTCAGTAGCAATGATCAGATTGATAAAATGGAAAATAATGGGACAGATAAACCACGTGAATTGTTGCAAAACAAGCAAAAAATCAGCAGTGAAAGCCCTGCAGACAAGACGCAGGACCAACCTTCAGGTAACAAAATTGGCAGCCCAGATCAACCGGTTTACAATTATGTCAGAAGAAGATTTTACTATGAGGTATCCAAACCACCCCCAAATGTAACGAATAGTAGCTTTGAAGATTCATCACAAAAGCAGCGAAAAGGGGGTCTCGAGCAAAATGAAAAACAAAAGCCGGGCACAGAAAATCATTGGCAGCAAGCAGGACCACTGTCAAAGATCAATGAGAAGCAAGAAGATGTTCTTAATCAAGCAGGCACAATTGAAGATAATAGATCTGCAGGCGCTAAAATGTGGGGATAGAAAAGGTAACAGTCTGTACTAATTCTGAGAATGTATCTGCAAATATTCTATTTATATTTTATTGTTCTCAGTCTTGCTTGTATTCTATCATTTTGTCTGCAAGTTGCTTAGAAATGAAGCAATTCTTAATGGAACAATCTTGGAACAACTTTAACGTGCAGCATGTTCTAACACATTGTTTTGAAGTAATTCCAAGAGAAATATATTTGTAGACAATTTTTTAGGAGGATTGTTTAAACTTATTAAGTAATACACCAGGGACATCTTCTTTTTAAAACCAACACAATTATTTACATACAAACTCTGAAAGTATGGCTAGTAGGTGGAAGCGTCAGGCCAATACAGGATACAAGCTAAACAGTGGCTCTGACGAACGCAACAGTCCTGCTCAACCAGATTCCAGGAAAAGTTTTTGTGACTGGTGTTGTTACTGGTGTTGTTGTGGCTGTTGTTGTGATGAACAAAGTTCTTCAAAAATTGAGGGTCAAGCTGGGAATGGAAAACAGTCCACAAATACAGAAATGAATGGTGGACAATCTGCAGGTGGCAGCAATACTATTCCAAACAATAAGAGCAGCTCTGGACAGGCATCTGGTCAACAATCTGCAATGGACAACGCCACTACTGCAACAAATAAGAGCAACTCTGGACAGCCGGCCTCTGGTCAACAATCTGCAAATGACATTTCAACAACTGAAAAGAATAAGAGCACCTCTGGACAGGCGTCGGGTCAACAATCTGCAAATGATAATGCGTCTGCAAAAAAACAGAGCAATTTAGGACAGGCCTCGGGTCAATAATCTGCAAATGACAGCGCGGCTAAGGCAAAAACTAAGAGCAGCAGCTCTGGACAGGCATCAGTACAACTAAACCAGAAACGAGAACACAACAGTGAAAGCCCTGGAGTTGGAGAGAAGAGCAAGAAGGATAAACTGCTGGGAACTTCAGGCAGCTCTGATCAGGATTCGGGAAAGAAAACTGGTGGCACAGAACAGGCGGTTCACAATTCTTCACTAAAAGGAGCTGTTAGACAAGAAGACACAAAGAAAAATGGCAAGGATCTCAATCCCCGGAAGGAAAACAATAGTAGCTTAGACCATTCATCAAAAGAGCAGCCAAAGGGTCCACCACTGAAGAATGAGAAGGATAAATTGCTGGGAACCTCAGGCAGCTCTGATCAGGATTTGGGAAAGAAAACTGGTGGCACAAAACAGCCGGTTCACGATTCTTTACCAAAGGGAGATGTTAACAATGGCAAGGATCTCAATCCCCAGAAGGGAAACAATAGTAACCCTGAACGTTCATTGGAAGAGCAGCCAAAAGGTCCACAACTGAAGATTGAGAAACAAAAGGATTTTGGTAAGCAACCGGGTTTTAAGAACGAAGATAATACAAATATGGACACAGCCTTCCGAAAATAGTGAGCAGTGCTCGAAATCCATCATCAGAGCAGCAAAAAGATGTTCCCAAGCAAGCAAAGAACATCGAAAACCAAATAAACACAAGAACAAGCTCTCCAGTAATTGCAAATTCTAGCAGCCTTGGACAAGGTGGACAAATCCTGTCACAGGAACAACAAAATAGTGTCACCAAGCTAGAGGGCATCAAGAAAGATGATAAAAACCCAGTGCCAAGTCACGTACGAGCAGAAAACAGCATTGGAGGGGCATCATAACAGCAGCAAAAGATAGTTGGATAGACAAGATAGCTGCTATGGAGGTTATAGTAGCTCTGGACAGCAAGCAATTATCTCACAGTCAAATAAACGAAAAGGAATTCGCGAGCAGGAAGATGTCAACACGAAGGATAAGTTTGGTTCCTGAAATTCCCTTGTACATAAAGATTAACTTGTTTCAATACTTTCTTTTGGTGGTATTATATATATCTTTTGTTTTTTCAGAAATAAAGAAATGTATCTGGTTTGTACATCAAACAATCTCTTTATAAATCTTGATTGCGTAGTTTTTATGAAGTAAGCAGATTATGTAGACAAATCTAATCGTCCTTGTGGAGGCATCTTTTGATTCATACTTTTGCAAAAGCTAAATGTTCTGGAGTGCTTTTTATGCTACACAGCTAAATTACTTTAGAAAGGTTAAAAGAAATTGCTTGAGATAAAGTAAAATGATGCAAAAGAAATTTCCAAAAGGTTATTATTACTTTATGTAGTGTTTTCCTACTCATAATGAGAGAAATTCTTAACGAACATCGATGCAATTATTTTTATCATTGCAACTCCCGTTGCTTTATGACTGATAATTTAAGAATATTGAAGTTAATACATCTGTATATATTATTTTTAGTTCTGATTCTTGCTTGTACCATATCAACCACTCTATAATTTGCTTAGAAATTAAGCAATTCTCACTAGAAGAATCTTGGAACAACTTTACTGTGAAGAATGCGCTAACATGTTTTGAAGTTATTTTAAGCAAAAAAATTTATTTTAGACAACTTTCTTCGCTGGAGGATTGTCTAACTAATGAATTGAATATGTTGGTTCAGATTGTTAAACTGGAGAGTGAGAAGGGAAGTGTTTTGCAATGGAAAGAGACGACTTAAGCTGAAAAATATGTGCTCATTTTCATTCATTGAACATGGATTACATTTATACAAAACAGTCCACTGTTCTTACCTAAACAACCTACTGCAGTGGATGAGATGTAATAGATTTGAATTTTAATAAAATCTTACACCAAAACATGTCTTAATCTCAACTAAACATGTCATAAAAATACCACTACATTGTGCCAAATTCTGCAGCATCAACGATTGCATCCTAACCGAAACAGAACACTTGGCGCCAAAAAGGTTGTTTGAAACCTCAGCTGAACAATGTTGCATTTCCAGCAGGTTATCATCATCTTCAACATTGTTCCTTGATAATTTTACTGGAAACACCAAGTCTAAGTCTTAGATTCTGAAACTTGGTTTTAAGCAAAGCCTTGGTCATAACATCAGCTATCTGGTCTTCACCCCTGCAATGAATTAATTTCACCTCTCCATTACTTTCTGCCTCTCTCACAGCATAGAACTTGATCTTGATGTGCTTGGTTCTGCCGTGTAAGATGGGATTCTTTGCCATTGCTATAGCCGACTGGTTGTCACAGAAAATTACAGTTGAATCCTTCTAAGTTTGCTTCAAATCCAACAGAATTTTCCTAAGCCATATGGCTTGGTTTACAGCAGCAGCAGAAATGTATTCTGCTTCTACTGTGGACTGAGCAATGGTGTCGCTTTTTGGACAGCCAACATATAGCTCCTGAACTCAAGAAGAAGACATAGCCTGAAGTACTTCTCATATAATCAATGCATCCAGCCCAATCACTGTCAAAGTACCCAATAAGCTGAAGGTTTTTAGTCTTCTTAAACCATACACCAAGATCAGAACTTCCCTTAATATACCTCAGCACCCTCTTGGCTGCCTTGAGATGGATTTCACTCGGGCTGCTCATGAACCTGGAGAGAATACTTGTTACAAACATTAAGTCTGGTATGGAGGCAGTCAAATACAATAGACAGCCAATCAGATTTGTATAAATTCCTTCATCAATCTTCACAGCCCCGTCATATTTGCTCAGCATCAAATTTGCAACCAGAGGAGTGTCCACTGGTTTGCACTTGTCCATGTCAAACTTATGTAAGAATTCATTAGCATATTTCCTTTGGCTAACAAATATCCCACATTGACTTTGGTTGATCTCCATTCCAAGGAAAAAGACATTTCCCCTAAATCAGTCATTTCAAACTCATTGTGAATGACCATCTTAAACTTCTCTAGCTGAATTGGACTGCTTCCCATGATTAGTAAATCATCTACATATAATGATACTATAGTGAATTCCCCTTCTAGCTTTCTCACATATAGTGTGTGTTCATTTGGGCTCCTTACATATCCCAAGCTAACCAAATGATCATTGATTGACTATACTAGGCTCTAGGAGCTTGTTTTAGGTCATATAGTGCCTTCCTGAACAAATAAACTTTGTTCTCCTGCCCTTCCAATTCATATCCCTCCGGTTGCTCCACATAGATTTCTTCATTGAGCCAACCATTTAGGAATGCAGACTTAACATCTAACTGATAAATTCTCCACTCAAATTGGGCTGCTAATGCAATGAAAAGCCTAATTGTATCATGCCTAGTCACGGGTGCAAATGTATCCGAGAAGTCTACTCCAAATTGTTGAGCAAACACTTGATGACCAACCTTGCTTATTTATGTTTATAGATTGATCCATCAGGTTTTAGCTTCCTTTTGTAAATCCATTTGACTTGGATTACCCTCTTGGTTGCAGGTCTGTCTACCAATTCCCAAGTGCCATTCTTTTCATTCATGTTTAACTCCTCCTTCATTTCATTCCTTCAAAAAACTGACTTAGCCGCTTCTTTGTAGTTTGCAGGTTCAAGTAAGGCTGCATTACACCTCTCATAAACCTTTGCTAAAGGCCTAGTACCTCTAACTGGAAAATCTTTATCAGAATCTGTCTCTTCTTGATCATCATGTCTGCCTACTATTGTGTTTGTCAACTACCCCCTTAAGTCTTCTTCAACCTCATTTTTCTCCTAGTTCCAGACCCCACTTTCATCTACTTTCACATCTCTAGTGATGTGAATTTTCTTAGTTTCTGGAACATAGACTCTATAGGCCTTGGACTGCTCACTATAGCCAATGAAGATCCCTATCATGGCTTTGTCATCCAGTTTGCTTCTCCTGCCTGCTAGAATGAGTGCATAACATACACTTCCAAAAATTCTCAGATTTCCAACCATAGACTTCACTCCATACCAAGCCTCATAGGGTGTTTGATTAACTAAGGCTTTGGTGGGAAGTCTATTAAGCAAATAGACCCCTGTGTTTACTACCTCTGATAAAAGGACTTGGGCAACTTCTTCTTAGCAACCATGCACCTAGCCATTTCCACAACAGTCCTATCCTTCCTCTCACTAACTCCATTTTGCTGTGGAGTATAGGGACTGCTAAATTGATGCACAATTCCAGCTAGCCTGTTGATTGTTTCAAACTCAGTTGAAGTGTACTCACTCCTATTGTCACTTCTTACAGTTTTGATACTAAGTCCAGTTTGGTTCTCAACTTGCAACTTGAATCTTCTAAACACAAATACAACTTTATTTTTCTGTTTCAAAAAATAAACCCATCACATCCTGGACCAATCATCAATGAACAAAACAAAGTATTTGCTCCCATTTTGTGATGGTGTCTGCATGGGTCCAGACACATCTGTGGATAAGTTGGAGCTTCTCAACAGCTCTCCAAGCTTTGTTTGCAAGGAATGGCTGTCTACTCATCTTGCCAAGCTGAAAAGTAGCACATACAGCCTTAGCCTCTACGAGTTCTGGCAGATTGTGGACTAGTTCTTTGGTTTGAATTTCCCTAAGACCGTGATAGTTGAAATGGCCTAATCTTTTGTGCCATAGTTCAGACTCATTTACATCAACAGTATAGGCTTTAGGTTCTGGTTTTTTTTAGCCTAATATGGAAGCTTTTTCCCATCATTCTAACCTTTACTAGTTCACTGCCTTCACTATCTAGGATTTTGTAGGACTGATTCTGGAAATACAGGACATAATTCCTTTCTAATATTTGTCCTACAGTAAGTAAATTGTGACTTATATCAAGTACATACAAAACATTGGGAATTAATTTAATACATAACCTTGTTTGCACAACAACAAATATAGACACCAGCCTTCCGAAAATAGTGAGCAGTCCTCGAAATCCATCATCAGAGCAGCAAAAGAATGTTCCCAAGCAAGCAAAGAACATCGAAAACCAAATAAACACAAGAACAAGCTCTCCAATAATTGCAAATTCTAGCAGCCTTGGACTACGTGGGCAAATCTTGTCACAAGAACAACAAAAGAGTGTCACCAAGTCAGAGGGCATCAAGAAAGATGGTATGAACACAGTGCCAAGTCATATAGAAACAAAAAGTAGCATGTGAGAGGCATCAAAAGAGCAGCAAAATGTAGTTGAACAGAAAGATAAGAACTATGGCAGCCATAGAAACACAGACCCTAAAAAATTACAGGACAACAAAAGGGAATTCGCTAGGAGGAAGATATCAACACGAAAGATAAGTTCGGTTTCTTAGATTCCTATGTACAAAAAGATGAAATTCTATTTGCCCTTTTCTATTCATGTAAATGGCTCTGAAATAGCTTTTCCTTTCAACTCTATATTGTTCAAATGTATACTTTCTTTGTTTTTCATAATTAAAGAAATGTATATGGACTATCCATCAAGCAATATCTTAATAAATCTTGATTGCCGTAGTTTTTTTTGAAGTAAGCAGATTAGACAGACAAATCCAATCATTCTTTTGGAGGCAGAAGCATCTTTTGATTATTACTTTTGCAAAAGCTAACTATTAATGTTTTTATTTTTTGTGCTAAATTGATTAAGCTATGCTTAGTTTAGAAAGGTCAAAATTAGATTATGTTACTGAACGAAATAGAGAGTAATATGAAAACAAAGTAACAGACAAACGCACAAATCACAAACAGTAAAACAAAAGAAGAGATACGCACGATTTACTCTTGTTCACCTAATTAACAAGTTACATCCAGCAGAGTTAATATTATTTCAATATTGCCTCACCTTTCTCATTTACAATGAAGTAATTTGTCTTATGATTAGTATCACTCATTACAAGAGAAATGTGTGTTTATGTACTAGGTTAAAAAAATAAAATATAGTTTTATAAGGATTCATATTCCCAAGCCCAAACCCAATAAGAATTAATAACTTAAAGAAATCATTCAACGGTATACCTGAAAAAAGCCCAAAACCACCTATGGGCTCGGGATGCTGCCCCAGCGACCCTTGCCCGCTTAACAGGACCCTCCAATGCGTTTGCATAGC